ATCAGCATCGCGCAAAAAGACCAAATTCCCCGATGCAGCAATCCCGGCTCAAACGCCAGCGCAGCGACGCAGAAAAAAAGGCATCGCTGCCAGAGCGTCAAGCCATCCCTGGCGCGGGAAAGCTCCGACCATCCCGATATTCACCTCGCATGGTCGCAAAGCTCAGCGTACACTAAAACCCTAAACCTGCTGCCGTACTCACTCCACACGGGGAGCTCCAGGCGGTCTGCATCCCTTGCACTTCCACCGCGACAAGATGGGCCGCGACACGAGCCCCACGACAGCTCGAGCCGATCAATCTTTATGCGGCATCCTCGGGGGACCTTGTCTGCCTCGTCGCGGCCCTGTCCGCGTCGAAGCCGTGCCGAATCCACCTCGGACTCGTCGATTCCGTGTCGAATTCCACCGTGTCGGAGAAGCACGAATTTCTGAGCACTTTCATAGGGTGGAGGGCTCAGGGTGAGATCCATATGGGCTTTTGCACCTCGAAAATCAATCCGTCTTGTGATTGACCTTTTGCAGATTCAAGCCTGGAGAACCAGGCGAAACGGCATTGCAGATTTCACCCTCTGCCCTCCACCCAAAGAGAACTGCTCGGAATCTTGGGGGCAGGCAAAGCCCCCCGAAGCTGCAGCGTACCAAGTTCACCCGGGCGTCCACCTCCCACCCCCCCGAGAGGCCACGATTCCCTCTCCAAGGCGCACGGGGCCTGCGCTCCCGATGGCGGCCGCGCTCCCTCTTGTACAAAGAGCCACGGGTCCGCGATCCCGGAGCCCCAGATCCCTGGCCATCGCTCGGACGTCCATTCCCTGTTTTTTTTGTTGGTTTCGTGCGTGGTTTTTTCGCCAAATGATCAAGGATGCTCCTCGATGGTCCTCGCCGGAGGAAAAATGCACACGTCCGAGCGATGCCAAGATCCGCGAAGAAGAAACCTGTGGCTCCGCGCTCCCGAGGCGCCACGATCCCGCGCACCAGAGGCATGGGTCCACGCTCCCGAGCTGCCGGGGCGGCCGAGGCAGGCCACCGGGGCCGCCAAGGTGGCTCCCAGGTTTGCGCGTCGTCGTCACTTTTCCGGGCTCCGTGCAGCTACAGGAGGTGATGGAGGCATCCAAAATGGTCTCTCATCCGCAAAAGAAAAAGCCCCCAATGTGCCAGCCAAGTAATCCCCCGCGACGGCCTCAAGACAGCCCCCGAGGGCCCCTGGACGGCCCTGAGGGAACCTCAAGCTGGCCCCAGGGGGCCTCGGGTCCAAGACGGCCTCAGAGAGACCCTCGACGGCCCAAGCGAGCCTCAGAAAGAGAGACCCTCGACGGCCCTAGAGAGCGTCGAGGCCGGCCCAGAAGGGCCCAAGGGAACACACGACCGCCCACAGAAGTCAGAGAAAGGACGGGAGAGAGAGGGAGGAAGACGACGAAGACGAGAAGAGGACCGCCGACACGGCGCGGAAGAGTCGTGTCACACATGCTGGAGCTCAAGTTTTTATTATTCCACATAACGCGCGTTATGTGGCTGGGTGGGTGGGTGGGGTCGCTGGCACATAACATAACACAGCCGCGCCTGGCCGCTCGATTGGCTGTATGCACACATTTTGATGCAGCAGCCTATGCGCGCACCACATCGCGCGTGTACACCACAGTGCATGGCGCATGGCAGTGATCACGTAAACCACAGAAACTGCGTATACGACTGTAAACGAACCATACCACAAAGTTTTTTTCACACCCTTTGCTGCGCCCACAGCAGCACGCTCCGCGCGCACAACGCAGTCGCGCCTGGCCGCTCGAATGCTGATTGTGCTGGAAGGACTGCCCTTTGTTGCTATTGGTCATAGCACTCATGCAACGAAAGGGCCTAGCAGCTGCGAGTGCTACACAGCGCCGCAATGCCCACGAACACCACGCATGCTGATGCAGCAACCTACGCGCGCACAACATCGTCAGCGTACGTCGCAACGCACGGGTGCACAACAGCGCCTGTGTATACAGCTGTCGACGTGCACACCACCTGTAGTACGCCAGCGAAAAAATTGCTTGCGACCCGACAGCCACGACGCGCCTATGTCCAGCGCCACAATAGTTTGCGGTCCGATCAACGCGACGTGCCCGTAAACGGCACAATGCTTTTGACGAGCGCAGCGTCTGTGAACACCACAGCGCTTGTGAACACCAATGCGCCTGTCAACGTAGCGCCTGCGAACGCCACAGCGCCCGTGAATGCCGCATCGCCTGTGCACGCGACAGAACCAGAAAACGCCACAACCCGTGTGAACGCCACAACGCCTGTGAACACAGCGCGCAAGAGCACCGCAGAGCCTGGGGCCCGGCGGCAATGCGCACGCACTTACAGTACAAGTAGAAAGTGGTAATAGCAGTGGTAGTAGTAGTAGTAGTAGTAGTAGTAGTAGTAGTAGTAGTAGTAGTAGTAGTAGTAGTAGTAGTAGTAGTAGTAGTAGTAGTAGTAGTAGTAATAGTAGTAGTAGTAGTAGTAGTAGTAGTAGTAGTAGTAGTAGTAGTAGTAGTAGCAGTAGTAGTAGTAGTAGTAGTAGTAGTAGTAGTAGTAGTAGTAGTAGTAGTAGTAGTAGTAGTAGTAGTAGTAGTAGTAGTAGTAGTAGTAGTAGTAGTAGTAGTAGTAGTAGTAGTAGTAGTAGTAGTAGTAGTAGTAGTAGTAGTAGTAGTAGTAGTAGTAGTAGTAGTAGTAGTAGTAGTAGCAGTAGTAGTAGTAGTAGTATAGTAGTAGTAGTAGTAGTAGTAGTACTAGTAGCACTAGCAGTAGTAGTAGTAGTAGTAGTAGTAGTAGTAGTAGTGTAGTAGTAGTAGTAGTAGTAGTAATAGTATAGTAGTAGTAGTCGTAGTCGTAGTCGTAGTCGTAGTAGTAGTAGTAGTAGTAGTAGTAGTAGTAGTAGTAGTAGTAGTAGTAGTAGTAGTAGTAGAAACAGCTGCTGGAAGCCAGAATTGCGTCGACGGCCAGAGTGCGAGGTCAGGAGCTCCATCACGGGCTGGTGGGCGCTATGGGGGGGAAGCCCAGGAGGCACCAAGAAGACTCAGGGGGCCCACGGAAATCCCAGGAGGTCCCAGGAAGGCCCAGGAGACCCCAGGATGCCCAGGCAAACTCGATAGGAGCCTCGATCCCTGGGAAACCGTACGAGGGCCAGGCAGGTTCGATTGGAGGTTCGATACCTTGGAAAACGTGGGGGGCCCAAGCAGATTCGATAGGAAGCTCCATCCCTGGCAAACCGTACGAAGCCCAAGGAGGCTCGATAGGAGCCTCGATCCTTGCGGGGTGGGGCCTCCTGTGACCTCAGGCCAACAGTATTTCCATAATCGTGGTTCGATTGATTTCGTCTCCACCATGCAAGGCACGCTCCTAGATGATACGTTTCTGGCGTATCGGGAGGGCCCCAGGAAAGCCTCAAGCGGCCCCCAGAGATGTGCAACGGCCGTTACACATCTCAGGGGTCATTGTGGGGCCGTCTTGGGGCCCGCTCGGGGCCCTCTTGGGGCCGTCTTGGGCCCTGATGAGCCCCCTGCGCCGTCTGGAAGGGGCCCAAGAAGGCCTCCAGAGGGCCCCGAGAGGGTCCCAGGAGGCCCCCAGAGATGTGCAACGGCCGTTGCACATCTCAGGGGTCGTCTTGGGGCCCGTTCGGGGCGCTCTTGGGGCCATCTTGGAGCTCTTTTGAGCCCCCTGCGGGCTTCCTGAGCCGCCTGGGAGGGGCCCAAGTAGGCCCCAAGAGGGCCGCGAGAGGGTTCCAAGAGGCCCCCAGAGATGTGCAACGGCCGTTGCACATCTCAAGGGTTGTCTTGGGGCCATCTTGGGGCCCGTTCGAGGCCCTTTTGAGGCCATCTTGGAACCCTCTTGAGCCTCTTGGGACTCGCCACGGGACGCTCCGCGGAACGTGCCAGGCAACATGCCAGGCTGCAATGCTAAGGGTATCGATATTGATGTACCGTGCCGAGGGCTGTGCTGTGCCTGGGCGACCTGGACACGTGAAAACACGCGTTTCGCTCAAGACGTTTTCAACACATCCTCATGCTAGACATCCGCCTGGGCAACCTGGACACGTGCAAACAAGCGTCTCGATCGAGACTTCCTCGACACATCCTCATGTTAGACATCCGCCTGGGCGACCTGGACACGTGAAAACTAGCCTCTGGTTCGAGACATCCTCAACAAATCCTCATGCTAGACATCTAACTGGGCAACCTGGAGGCGTGAAAACCAAGCGTCTCGCTCGAGACATCCTCAAGACCTGGGCACGTGAAAACAAGCATTTCACTTGTTGTTGTCTTGTTTTGTCTTTTGTTTTTGTTGCCGCACTGTCTGGCAACCAGGGAGCAAATCAGTTACCAGACGGCGAAGCAGTCGACGCGCCAAATGCGTGCCAACCGCGAGCTGCGCCAAACGCGCGTTGAGGATGTAAACGCGGAGTTGTGGATGTTGATGAAGGTACTTGCTCACTCCAGAAGATGGGATGTATGGATATATACGTCTTAGGTGCTATTATTTCGGTTGGAGTTGGAGCAACACGCAGCAGACAAAGTCTGCGGTGCGAGCGGCAATGGGCCCCCCTGCTGTATGCGGGTGTATCCAACTGTCGCCTCACACTTCTGCAAGCCTACACTCCCTGGGTCGGCTGCCACGGACCGCCGTCACGGCACACTGTCTGCAGTGCGAGCGGGAATCATGCCCCCTGCTATTTGCGGGTGCATGCCGCTCTGCCCTCACAACTCGCGCAGCAAAATTACGCGATAACTCATTACACCAAATGGCGATGATGAGAAGGCAGCGGAGGCGCAATGCCACGAAAAGAAAGGAGAGAATTGAAGAATTGTGGGGACTCTGGGGGCATTCATTGCCGTGTTGGTGCTATCTTGGGGTGTGTGTGTGTGTGTTTGGGTGTTTGTGTGTGTGAACAAAGAAAATGACGCCCGGGCCCCACATTTGCGGTCGAGGCGCCGGCCCCCGGCCCTCGGACCCAGTGCACCACGGCAGGGCAGGCGGGCTCAATAGCCGATTGCGGAGGAGCCCTGTCGATGCGGAGCTTGACCATCCGGACCCGCCGATAGGGATATCATCTTCTGGCACCCTGCCTCGAGCGTCGCAGCCTCCGTGTAATCATCCTCACCCAGCAGCCCTCCGACGTGAAACCCAGCACGCCGAAGGTTCTTAAGGTAGACGTTCAAATACTGCTGCCCCTCGCCAGTGTGACAATGGACGATTTTGAGCTCCACCGGCCCGAAGTTCACCCACTTCGGCTTGTTGTCGCGCGCGCCGCGAAAGTTGAAGTGGAAACCTCCGGGCTGCGCCTTGTCTGCCCACGTCCCTGTGACGTTGACCTCCTGGAAATAAATATCCGAGCATCGTGCTCCCAGTCGACGTGCGTCGACGTGCGTCGGCCCTGGAGATGTGCAATGGCCGTTGCACATCTCCAGGGGTCGTCTTGGAGCCGTCTTGGTGCCCTCCCGGAGCCATGTCGGAGCCTCCTGGGAGCCTCTTGGTGCCTCAAGGGGGCCTTGAAGGGGCCCCAAGAGCGTTCGAAGAGGGCCTCAAATAGGGTGTGCAATTGCGCACCGTCAGACGCCTTCTCGGAGCTATCTTGGGGTCCTCTTGGGGCCCTCTTGGGATCCTCTCGGAACCTTTTTGGGCCCCCACTGGTCCCTCTTAGGGCCTTGTTGGGGCCCGCTTTTTTGGGGGGTTTCAAGAGAGCCCAGAGGTCCGCGGGGATCTCCGGAGGTTTGGAGGGCCCGAGGGTGCCTAAATTACATGGACATGCGCGTTATGTGTTCGAGTATAAAAACTTGAGCTCCTGCGGCCCTTCCAGGCCTCCGCACACGAGGTGGAGCAGGCGACTGTCTCCTGTGTGCGCCCCCGGACAGTCGCCACCCAAGGTGCTGGGCTGGCACGATGGCGGGGCCTGCTGGGTAGAATCGAAAAGCGGCGCCAGAGATACCCTGATGGAATTGGCCCGCAGTCCCTGATCAAACTGGGGGAGAAGATGAGGTGAAGGGGGAGGCGGAGGAGGAAGGGTGCGATTGAGCTTCATTGCTTGCTGTCCTCGTTCTCCTTCGTTGCTCTCCTCCTACTAATCCGAATCACCTTTGTCGCTGCTCTTCAGCCCCCTTCCCCCCCTCGTGTTTCTCAACCTCCTCCTCCCTCTCTTCCTCGTCCTACTCCCTCCGCCCCCATCCTCCAACCTCCTCCTCATTCCTTCTCCTCCTACCTCTGCCCCCAACCCCCTACCTCCTCCTACTCCCTCCGCCCCCATCCTCATCATCCCCCTCCTCCTCCTCCTCCTCCTCCTCCTCCTCCTCCTCCTCCTCCTCCTCCTCCTCCCTTCTTCTCCTCATCCGACCTCGTCTTGCTTCCTCCTCCTCCTCCTCCTGGCAGGAGACATTCCAAGGGCTGCATCGAAGAGCCGCAAACGTAATGTTTCAATACTGCAGCTTCGATGTCAAATCCTGCGCAAAGTTGTTGCCAATGCTCAGGCTATGAAGCTGTGACGCTTACTGCCCTTGCCTCTATGAGCAGATGGAGGACGCTGACTTGAACTTAGCGTATACACCTGTCTTGCCAACCACTGGGCACATACAAACTTTGGGGCGGCCACTTATTATTGCTCGTCTTTTATCCGCCATCGTGCCGTTGGTCCTGAATCGAGTGTCTTCCTGTCCCTTCTAACCCTCTGCATTGGGTATTGTAGATACCCTTCACAGACTGAGGAAATGAGGAAGGTTTCGCCATATTCGAGACTGAGGAATCCAACGCTGAGGACAGCTACAGGATCCCGATGACCAGCTCGGATTACTAATATGAGCTACGGGTCCCATATGAGGGGGCTCACGCCTTGGACTCACTCGCGATTGCCTCACAGAAAGACGAGGCTGCAGCTCGAGACTTGCTCATGATGAGATCATGATGACCGATGACCATGGCGGGATGCTGACAGCGATGTCGATGTGTGTGAAAAAAAGAAAGAGAGAGAGAGAGAGAGAGACAAAAAAACGAACAGAGAGCGTGATGATAGCGGTGATGCTGCTGATGATGACGATGTTGGCAATAGTGGTGAGGACGATGGTGATGATCATGATGATAAGCGGGTGGGTGATCAGTGAATGTGAGTGATGGAGTGAGTGTGGGTGCTGATGGTGAGGGTGATGATGATGCTGATGCTGATGCTGATGCTGCTGATGCTGCTGATGCTGCTGATGTTGCTGATGTTGATGTTGATGATGATGATGATGATGATGATGATGATGATGATGATGATGATGATGATGATGATGATGATGATGATGATGATGATAACTGTGTGCGTGTGTGAGTGCATGAATGCGTGCGTGTGTGGATGAGTGGGGGGAAGAGGTGGAGATCCTGCGCGGGGGGGCGCAGAGAAAGCGAGAACCCCACTATGGCCACTATGGATGTATTTAGGAAATGGCAATACGACCAGAAGTATCGAAATATGATGTCCCTGTCTGAAGACGGCCACAGAGGCCCCCAAGAGACCTCCAAGAGGTTCCCATGACACCGAAGAGTAGGAGACACACATGAGGCTTCCCACGGGCCTCCCGAACATTTTAAAGAAGCGTCATGGCCACGACCCTGGCACGGTGGCGTGATGGGCCGAGAGCCACTGGATTGCCAGGTCGCACGTGAAACAAAAACAAAAAAAAAATCCGAGGTCCGCGCGGCTGTCTTGGCTCGGCGCTGGACCCCCCTCCCCTGGCGCGGGGGCCAGGCTCGCGCGGTAGGCAGCGGCAGGGCCCGCGGCCGGCGCACGCCGCTCGCTCCGATCACGGGCGCAGCGGGCCGTGCCTCGGCCTCGCACCGGTCGACGTCCGGCCTCGGCTCAGTCCGCCTCGGGCTCGGGAGGACCCCGCGGCGGCGCCGAGCCCCGGGCGAACTCGGCCACGGCGCGATCGTGGAGCTCCCTCAGCTCCGCCTCCGTCTCGGGCCGCCCGGCCCCCCCGTCGAGCCTCTCCTCGGCCCGGCGGGCCTCGGCCGCGCGCAGCGCCGCGACCTGGAGCTCCGCGCTCCGCCGGCTCGTCGCCACCATCGCCTCTGCCAGGGCCTCCCTCGCAGCCAGCGCCGCCTCTCGCGCATCCAGCTGTGACTCCTTCGCCTGGAGCCGCTGCTCCCAGGCCTCCAGCCGCGCCACCGACGCCTCGAACGTCCTAGTGCTCAGCTGCCCCGACACGCAGCACGCAACACGTAGCGTGTTGATACGGAGCTCAATGCGCACACCGAAAACGTAAGCATGACGCGATGCGTTCGCCAAAGCGTGAACCAACACGTGCCGAGCCAACACGGAACGCGTTGGCACGGACGTTTTGAGCACAGCACGTGTTGCGTTTCGGGCCGGGCGTGTCGAGGCAGCTCAGGCCGCGGGCCTGGCCTGTCGATGTCGGGCCCGCGCCTTCTGTCCCCTCCCCCCCGAGGAGGAGGAGGAGGAGGAGGAGGAGGAGGAGGAGGAGGAGGAGGAGGAGGAGGAGGAGGAGAGGAGGGAAGAGGGAGGCAGGAGGAGGGAGAGGAGGAGGAGGAGGAGGGAGGGAGGAGGGAGGAGGAGAGCGTTTCTTTATGTCTCGGCGATGACGGGCGTCATGGGGGGGGGGGGGGAAGCGGGGGGGGGTATGACGTAACGCCCCCCCTCCCGCCGTCTGGCTCCGGCACCACAGCCGTGCCCGCGCGCACGACGCGACGAGCGACAAGCGACGACGACGACGACGACGACGACGACGACGCGAGCAGCATGTAGGTGGCGATCTGCCCCCCTGCGCCTGTGTACACCACAACGCTCGCGTGCACCACAGTGCGCGTGCGAACCACAGCGCCTGCACACATCGCAACAACCGTGTGCAACACAGCGCCTGTGTACACCTTCGTACAGTACAGCGCCGGTGTACATGTGCACGCCAGAGGCAACCATGTGCAACACAGCGCCTGTGTACACCACAGTGCTTGCGTGTACCGCGGCGCCTGTGCACAACACGGCGCCTGTCTACACCACAGCATCCGCGTGCAACGCAACGCTATTGTACACCACAGTGCCTGCGTGCGTAGGACAGGTAGAAGGAGCCTGTACGTGAGGATCTGCTGCGGAAGCGCCACGCCAGAAAAAGTGCGGATAATCGAATGCGACGTTTTTTCCCTCTCCCCTTCTCCTCCACTTCCCCCTCCTCCTCCTCCTCCTTTTTCTCCTCCTCCTCCTCCCCCTCCTCCTCCTCCTCCTCCTCCTCCTCCTCCTCCTCCTCCACCTTATCCCCTGTCGTGCGGGTTGGCGCTACAGTGCACGTGCGCAACTCAGCGTGCGCCGCAGAATGGTCGATTGAATCGGCCCACTTGGTTCTCGGACGGTCAATTTAGCTGGAGCCTCCTGGACGCAGATGGGAGGAGTTACGGTGATGCGGGCGAACTCGGAAGGACTCGTAGATTCCCCTGGCGCTCCCTTGTCCATAAGGATTATGTTCTTGCGTTTTCAGTGGAATCCACAAACGCTCCATTTTGTCATAACGATTCCTTCGAACATTCTACATACAACAGTAGTGCTGTGTTGCACACGGTTCCTGTGGTGCACACACGCGCCGTGGTGTACACAAGCACTGCAATGCACGCAGGCATTGTGGTGTACACTGCTGTGCTGCACACGGCTGATGTGGTGTACGCGGGCGCTGTGGTGTACACAAAAGCTGTCGTGCCCGCGCGCGCGATGGCACAAACTGACGCTGTGTTGCACGCGGCTTCTGTGGTGTACATAGGCGGTGTGGGGTACGCAAGCGCTGTGGTGCACGCAGGCACTGAGATGTACACAAGCGTTGTGGTGCAGATCGCCACCTACATGCTGGTGCCACCCGTCCTCCGTCATTCCTAAGCATTCCCAGGCGCCGCCGGAGCGAAGCGTGACGTCATCGAGCCCCTCCACCCCCCCCAGATGATTGCCGTCATCGGCCCTGAAAAAAAAACAGGCTCCAGCCGCGTCCGCGCGCACGACGACGATGAGCGACGAGCGACGAGCGACGAGCCACGAGCCACGAGCGACGACGACGACGACGATGACGACGTCGACGACGACTGCGGACCAGATTCCTATGCGGATTCCCACGCGGACACCTACGCGGATCCCAATGCGCACGGCGGCAATGCCCAGAGCGCACTGGGGGGGCAGCGTTACGTCATAGGGGGGGGGAGGGCGGGGGTCATGACGCCCGTCATGCCCCGAGCAATAAAAGAAATGGTCTCGAGTGAGGAGGGAGGAGGGAGGAGGAGAGGAGGAGGAGGAGGAGGAGGAGGAGGAGGAGGAGGAGGGAGGAGAGGAGGAGGAGGGAGGAGGAGGAGGAGGAAGGAGGAGGAGGAGGAGAGGAGGAGGAGGAGGAGGAGGATTTAGGATGAGTAGGAGGAGGAGGAGGAGGAGGAGGAGGAGGAGGAGGAGCTGCGCGTGGCTGAGTCCTGGTGGCCTCAATCATCGACGCCCTGGCCGCGGCGGCCGACCGGCCGGGAGCCTCGCGCACCGGCGCCGGCGCGGAACTGCTGGGCGCCGCAGGCGAGGGCGCCCCCTTGCTCGCGCACGGCTGGCGGCACGCAAGAGGGGCCCTGAGCAGGCGCGGACCCTGCTGCGCGACGTTCGGGTGCCCCCCCTCCTCCTCCCTCCTCCTCCTCCTCCTCCTCTCCTTCCTCCTCCTCCTCCTCCTCCTCCTCCTCCTCCTCCTCCTCCTCCGAACAGACCTGCGAGCGTTTGTCTGTTCGGCGTTTCGACACTGTGGGCGGGAAGGGGGGGGGGTCTGACTCCAGACCTCTGCGGAGTGCGACTGTTTGCGACGGCGCGTCCTGTGGGGGAGGGGCCTCGCCTGCTCGAAACAGGTGCCAAAAACAGCCAAGATCCACTCCCCATGGGGGGGGTGCGAGGGCCCGCGCCGATCGGCAAAACAACGAATAAGAAAGCGACCACATCCCTCACCATCTATGGCCCCGAAGCTTGTAAGGTGGACAGCAGATTCACCGATGGAGGGCGGACCGCTTCCAGAATGCGGCTCTCGCCGGAGCGCCGCGCACATCCGTTTTCTTTCCAGGCAAGAGTTTCA